TCCAGTGAAATATATTTATGTTTGTGGTTGTAATGTGACAAAATATGGAAAAGTTCAAGGGGTATGAATACTTTTGCAAACCACTGTATATGGCATATGTGGCATTACTTTATATATGGTAAATGGACTGAACTAATAGAGTGCTTTATCAAGTCCCTCCCGACCCCAAAGCGCTTTACACTTACAGACATTCACCCACTGATGATGGTAAACTACATTGCAGCCACAGCTGCCCTGAGGCACACTGACAGAGGTGGTGCTGCCATGCACCGGCGCCACCGGACCCTCAGACCATCAGCAATAGGCAAGGCGGGTGAAGTGTCTTCTCCAAGGACACAACGACTGAAATGGCTGGACGGGGAATCGAGGACGACTCCCCTAACCACTCCGCCACAGCTGCCCCATGCCCATATATTGCTAAACCTAAATCACCATACACATGTATTTGCAGATGTAAATTAGCCGTAGGCTAAATCTGGTGCAATGCATCAAATGTTTTCATGTTTATGCTTTAATTGCACATTGTCCTTATAAATAAGATTAATTCATTCATATATATTAGCTTGGCGCTAACGCCATGTTGCCATATATATGCTCCTTGTTGGCTTGAAAGCTAATAGGCTCAACTGAGGTTCTTCTTCCATGAAGCAGCTCTGTTGTCCTCCATCATCATTTTCAGTTGCAGGCTGAGTCATTTCTACACTCTCCTCTCTGCCATCATTTACTCTGTATGATTTGTGGTATAAATAAAATGGCTCCATCCATGTTACAGTACATATTTTTAAAATGTATAAAAACTGAACAGCCTACAGTATTTTTACAGTCTTTATTTTACAGTTAAAATAAATGTTCATCAAATAAAGTCTAATGTTAGCTCAAAACAAACAACAAACATTATTAATTTTATTCTGAAACAGACTGTTTGAAGTGTCAGGGGGCATCAAACCTGCCTTTCTAACATTTTTCTAAAGAACGACCAAGAATGATGGTTAAATGAAGCTACCAAAGACAATAAACAACATTTAGATGGAAATATGTGGTCGATACACTGAAAAGCATAAAATTTGCCATCAAAGTTTAATGCAGGATTGACCAAAATCCCCTGGTTTATGTTAGGTGTGGACAAAGTGAGTTCAGTGTGTGTAAAGTGAAGTATTTCTAATGTAATGCTGTAATCCATTTTCAGGCTCCAGCAGCAGTCCATCACAGGGATTCGTCGAGACTAATCAGACAGACAAAAAAATCATTTCACTCACTCCTCGTTACCAAGAACGAAGTGGATTGTTTGCTCAGTCTTTGTTTTCGGAGTTTAAAATGTCAGTCTTCTTTTGAGGAGGCAGAAAATTATAGTCCTGTCATTATTTTGACAGTGACTCAGACAAAACTACTCAGAGACAGAATGTCTTCATCTGTAAAATATAGATATACAAAGTTCAAATGTGAAGATAATGTTTGTTAGTGTATTTCTGTGTTTTCCTCGGTGATAATTAGAGAAATACGAGAATTATGATGTCCAAACTGCAAAACTGTCCGAACTATGGTCAAACCATAATTACTATCTCCCCTTAAGTCCTACGGATAACTCTAATGTGTTTACTGAAAAAATGCATGCCTGTCTCACTGTAAGAAACATGTTTTTACTGAGAGGCAAGACTCGAACCAGGAGACAAGTTCAGATTTAGACTTGAACATGTAACTGTAAGAAATAAAGCCATACAAATACCTTCAGCTGGACCAAAACACAGGCCTTTGTTCAGACTCAGAATATTATGGTATCGAATCAAAACAAACCAACACATTTTATCCATTATCTTCTGGGCCTGGCCACTCCTCAGGGACAAGATGTCACATCAATTGGGAGGCTTAGTTAAAAAACAGATGTGTTGGATTTACTTAACCAAGTTACGTCAACAAGTTTCATTCAACTGAGTTGAGTTAGTGTAAAGCAACTTTCACTTTTTCTTCAAAAATAAACGTAAAAAATAATTTAAAAAAAGTATCGTATTTTTCGGACTATAAGCCGCGACTTTTTTCCTGAACTTTGAACCATGCGGCTTATAGTCCGGTGCGGTTTATACATGGATTTTTTCTTCAGCCACCAGGGGGCTCTTATGCTCCATTTGCTTCAACCACTCGCTTCAAAAAAAGAAGAAAAAGAAAGAAAAAAGCGATCACTTCCAGAGCCGACTGTTGTACCAGGAAGCAGCGATTTAAAGATAGTCAATGGCCAAAAACTCATAAAAGGGGATAAAACAGACATTTTTCACGGTGGAATCTGACTGATAAAAACTTTGGAGCTAAATCCAGGACCAGTTTGTGGATAAACGTCGAGTGAAGAGCTGCTGACTTTTTTTCCTCATTGCACTCAAGGAATCCCATGCAGTGACGTATGCTGGAGCGGGAGGGCTTTCCCAGCAGCTGACTGACGGGAAATCATTCACAAAAACTGGCTGAATGCGAAGAGCGACATTTCCTGATGACGGTGTACCTCAAAAATAAAATACACTCAACTCAGATAAGTGGAAATTATTGACACAACTTTTTTAAGTAAATCCAACAATCAGTTTTTTGAGTGTATAGTGACTTGACCCATTTACAAGTCTGCTCTCTGATGAGAAATAAAGAATTATATGTCTTTCTGTTGTATGGTGATAAGGTGTGTGTTCACTTATCTACAAGTACACTCTGTTGAACTTTGACACGGGTCCTTCCAAACAGAGTTAACAGTTTAATGATAATAATAAAACATTTAGATAATCAAAACGAGTCTAGATCTCTTCAATAACAGTAATGTGTAGTGAATTTAAAAATCAGTGTTAAGCAGAATACATTTTCCTTGGTTGATGAAATAAGTGGAGTGATAAAACTGTTACAAAGGGAAATGAATTGAAAATGTGATTAAAAAAACTGCAAACCTCCAGTTCATAATGTATTTATTTAAGCTCTGTTCTGGGTCATTCTTAACGAGAGCATGTTTGGTTTGTCTCTTGATGATTTTGTCTGTCCTTTTTCTGATGCCAAGAAGAAAACACGTTTTTTAATTTGAAGTTTTTCTTTTAACCTAACACAAAAACAATGCAATAAACTAAAAAAAAATCAAGTTTCTGAGATCATGTGTTTCTCTGACATTGGCTGGAGGTCTCTGCTGGAACAAAAGAAAAAAATGATTTGAGACTCTCTTTTTACATCTCACAGCTTTTTATTTACAGTTTTTGTCATAAAAACAAAACAGAAAATGATTGAAAGATTGTATAAGTGCATATTTTTTATCCTTTTTTTGGGCAGTCTGGAAAAAAATACGTCAAATGAATCAAACATCCCTG